ATCTATCTATCTATCTTTAAGCTTCTTGCTTAGTTGGCCCTTGGGGAGGGCCTTTGGATTTAAAATCTGTTATATTTTGGAGGAACATTCTTCTAAGTGGTACAGCACACTTCTGTCAATATACTGTACTGATGTAACATGGGGTTGCTATGATGCTGAACCTTGTGCCTTTGGGATGTCAAATGCCTTAAGAGTTACCCATGGTGGACAGTGTTTGGTGGAGCTCCCAGTTTAAGACAGGTTTGGGAGCAGGATTGGCATACACTTCTGCATCCACTTCCTAAACAACATGCTGCTGGAAACTCTATGAACTTTGATAAATGTTGATAGTTATAGAAAGACTTCCAGCATTTTGTTCATAGGGTCTCTACAAGTTGTACTTGACTCAACAACAATCAACAACACTACAATATATAGTTAGGAGTTGGTTCTGACTCAATGGCAAATAATAACAACAATATTATAATACAACAACTCTCTTCCATCCTATCAGAAGCGACTCACAGTTGACCTACCAGTAGATTTCTGGGAGACTTGCTCATCTTTTTTGTGCAGAACCACTGGTGGATTTGAACTGCCTTGACATATTTGTTTTTTAAACTAAAGAACTTAATACTGTCTTGAAAATGCAAGCAATCATGTAAAATGGATTGCAGTTTTATAACCCAGACCAATTAAGATAAAATTAAGTAGGTTTTGAGGAGATAGGGAAAGAAATATGTGAAATTGGGACATAAAGAAAAAGAGTTGAGGGAGTTTGAAACCCTGAGTAAGAGAACTAAGATGGTGCTGCAAAGAAAAGCATCTTAGCATACTCAGATCGCCTCCATTCAGTTCATACAATACCCCAGGTCTGGTCTGCTACATTTTAAATGGTGCAACACCTAAATTTTTGTAGATTATTGTTGTGTCCTGTCTAGTTGGAACCAACCCATAGATGACCTACTCCTGTGTTTTCAGAGGCAGTAAATTGCACAAGTTTTCAGAAACCTGATATATCAGAAGTGGACAACAAATTATTATTACTTTTATTACTATTATTATTATTATCTGGCAGCTCTACTAAATGTGTCCACCATGAGTGATTCCTCTGGTATTTGAAATACCAGTGGCACAGCTTCCTGTATCACAACACCCACAAGTTACCTCAGTAGAGCAAATTAACAGACAAGTGCTGTACCAATTAGAACAATGATAAACAAGTAAGAATACAAGCTACCAAGTAATTAGCAATATGCAGATCGTTGATCCAGTACAATAAACTGAGAAGTCTCACAGTTTCGGAGAGGAATACCATCAACCAAGTGGACTGACACAGTGACTTACAGTAATGGGCTTGAGTGTGTCAGAGTTTGCACAGGATAGGACAGGGTACGAATCTGTTGTTCATAGGGTCCCTATGGGTCATACTTAACTCAAGAACACTTAATAATAAGATCAATAAGGCAGAGGCTGTTGTGTACAAAGAGTAATGAACACTGCATAGTTTAAAATTAGGAAGGGTACGTATGCATCAGGGTTTTGTCCTCCCTCAATCCCTATTTTTTTATATATATAAATTTTAAAGGCAGCTCTGGTGGCCTAGTGGCAAGAAGCTGCACTGAAATCCCAGAGGCGCACGGTTCAAATCCACCAGATGCTCTGCCGAAGAAGGAGGGACAATCTCCTCCTGTACCAGTCAGATCTGATTTGATGGTACACACACACAAAAATAATAAAATTTTTAAAAAAAGATTAAAAACATTTTATTTGTTGTGAAAAACATGTATGGGGATACAAGGGGGTGAGTGTTGAGGGCAGAAGGGTGAGGATGGGCAGGGATGAAATTGCAGGGCTGCACAATTTGGTGGGCAGGAGGGAGTAGGTGAAATAAAATGAGAAAGATCCAGTGGGGACCAGAAGAGGCAGGGCAATGCTAAGAATAGTCCATTGGTGATTAATTTTTTTTAAAAGTAATCTTATTCATTTGTGGGTTTCTCATTTGGGAATGGGGTGCAGACTCTCTGACTTATTCATGCTGAAAAGGGGTATTGATAAGGGGGGAAGGGGAGCCCACTCTAACACCTTACTGGTGAGCCTGAGTTAAAGCTGCATGCCTTCTTGTTCTGTTAGAAGATATTCTCCTGATGTTTACTGCCCTCTGGACTGCAGAGTGTTTGCCAAGGTGGGTCCACTGGGGATAGCTGGCTGAACCCTGAGGCTCCATCATTCTTCACTTCCTTAGTTGTCAGTTATATTTCCCTTTTATCGCTGGAACTGAGTTCAGGGTCAGGTCTGGAGTAAAACTCAGTGTTAAGGTTACCTATAAGAAAGGAAGCAAAGTTAGAGAGAACAAAGTTGTGAGTTACAAATAGAAGGGCGTTGGAAGTGTTACAGGTGTATTGGAGGAGAAGGTGGAGGAAAGTGGCCTAAATAAAATTCTCTGTTTACCCTAGGCAGTTTTTCCCAGTGACCTGATAGCTCTTCCTAGGGGTCGGATGGCACACTCCAAGGGCCAAATGGCTCATCTAAGGGACTGAAAGGCTCACCCTGAGGGCCGGGTGACATATTCTGAGGGCTGGGTGGCACACCTTCCTACTGAAGTCCTCCTCCAAAGTCTGGATCCTGTGCCTCACTGAAGATCATGGGCAGGGACAACACCCCCAGTTCTGGCACTACTACCATTACTCCCCTCCACCAAGTGGTCAGACTACAATTTGAAGGCATCACTGATCTTCCCCTTTATAAATGGAGAAGGGGATTTGAGAGTGGGGAACAGACCCTCCCTAGGTCTAAACTGTTCTTGGCAGCATTAGTCAAGAGATCAAAAGATGTGGTGTATTGAGGACATCCACTGTCATGGATATGCTACTGTTAACTGTTGTAGAGTCATAGACAACTCATAGTGACCCTTATCAATTCATTGTGTTGATGATCTTCTCTGGCCTGTCCAAGGAAATCTTAACTGGCAACAAGATGCTTTTCCTTATCAAGACCTTTACCTCCTGTGGATCCATGGCGCTGTAGCTGCTGCTGTCGCCACCACCTTCCTCACCTACCCTCCCTTACCCCCAATCCTGCGCTGGGGGCCCACGGCTCACTGGCTGTGTAGGGGCTCCGCCACAGCAGCTGTGGGGCCCAGCGTTCACTGCCTGGTCTAGGCTAGGAGACCTGTGGTTCCCTGACACGGTAAATCCCTATTTTATTTTTAAAAATATTTTAACTATTATTTTAATGAATGTTTACAGAAAAGCTGGGGTTTCATTCATTCATTGTTTCATATTTCCTCCCTCTCCCTTTTCCTTCCCTCCTCCAGCCCACTTTGCAATGCATTTCCTTCCAGATTGTGGTCATACATTTAATACTTAATCATGCATTCTTTTCACTGAGCTCTTCTCCTCATATGTTTGAATATAATATTCATTATCCACACTTTTTCTATTCTCCTCCACCTTCCCGTGCTAGTCTTATTTTATAAAACAGTGGTGCTATGCACAATCATTATGGAGGAGGTCTGGCACTTTCTCAAAAAGTTAGAAATATAAGTAATATCATTTGACCCAGGAATTCCCCTATTGAGAATATTTCCCTAATTGAGCCAGAGCTGTGACTCAGATGTCTACCCACCCACATTTATTGCTGCATTATTCATAATATCAAAGACATGGAAACAGCCCAAATGTCTATCAACAAACAAATGAATAGAAATCTGTGGTATAGCCATGCAATGGCATATTATGCAACATTAAAAAAATCAATGAACTCATAAAACATTACAAAACATGAGTAAGCCTAAAAGACATTATGCTGAGTGAAATATCTCCATACCTATTTTATCTGTATGCTGAGCAAATTATTTGAGAAGCTGGACTTAATGAAGAAGAATGTGGCATCAGGACTGAAGGAAGACTCATAAATAACCTTTGTTATGCAGATGACACAACCTTACTTGCTGAAAGTGTGGAGGACTTGAAGCATTTGCTCCAAAAGGTCAAACACTGCAGCCTTCAATAAGGATTATGTCTCAGTGTAAAACAAAAACAAAAACAAAAATTCTTACCAATGGACTAATAGACAACATCATGATAGATTAAGAAAAGATCGAAGTTGCCAATGATTTCATCTTACTTGTATCCACAACCAACAATTGCTTGGTATCAGCAATCAGGAGATCAGGAGACATATTGCACTGGGA